GAGAAAGCCTAACGAATGCCAACTGTTTGTCAGGGATGTACTGTATTATCTGTTTATAAAATTTACTTTCAATGAAGAAAATAATATCAGGCGATAAATTATACACCCCTGTCGCAGAAGAAAATCGTCGGTGGACCGCTTCAGAGGGATTTTGAGCAACACCTGACCACGCCCATTCGCTCTCGTCGGGGACATCGTCCCTCCCACTACCGGGACATCGGGCCCCTTCTGGCAAATCCTGATGCCACACCCGGGACTATGTGTATTGATGTACTCGATACTTCTTTCTAAATCTGTGCGATCACGGAGCAATTTGTTTGCCATGTCAATTAACTAACAACAACACGCCCAATACTACGCCCTAATTATAATATAGGAAAATAAATTCACCGGCCACCTGTATCATCGCCTATAGGAAAATCAGTGATAGCGCTTGGATCTAACCGACGGATGAGCTGAAGGGGTCGAAGTGGGGGCCCAGGGATCCCGTCAGAAATCTACGGATATTGGAGGAATTTTGGTGAATTAATTTTTTTAAAAGATATCAAGGTAATGTATTTAGTGGCAGAGATTCCATATTTTCGTAGAAAGAAATAGCTTAAATTTACCCATTAAATCTGGAGGGCCGGGGACCACCTATGTTCCCCACCCCCACTCCAGGAGCTCACACATTCTAGAGGATTAGATGACAAATTTATTAGACTAAATGACATCCCTTCTTGTTTCATTATCTACTCGAGAAAGGCCGCCAGTGAACATATACGTGTTTGTATCAGCCGCGATCACTGAAATGGTACGTTCCCAGGGGTGTGGCCCCCAGGATTTGCCCGACTGGGTGGGGTGGAGGCGATGCCTCCGACGAGGGGTCAGATTTCCCCGACGAAAGCAATGTGGGCGTGGTCTAGCTTTGATTAAAAGGTTTCGAAAGTGGTCTTGGGGGCGAAGGCCCCAAAATATTTTTACAATTTAGGGGTTTCAAAGGCCTATTAATCGATTTTAGAGTCTACTAATAGGCCCCTATGTCGAAAATACATATAATTTCTTTTCTCCTCTACGAATTGTGCTTTTTCTCCCCAACGGGGAGGGGGAGAGCTCTCCCCGAAGGGGGACTCTGCCCCCGGCCCCTCGCTGCCCCCCGGAAGCGGTTTGGCGCAGC